GGGGGGGGGGAGAGCACAAAAAAAATGCTTTTCCAAAGATGCAATTCAGTCTCCAACTCAGCACAAATCCAGTACCAGCTGCAGCCTAATTAAAAAGCAATTACCTTCGTAGGAAAACTGTTTACTCAGGGAAGAAAAAAATTCTACCTAAACAAATAGGTAGGATTCTAAAAGATGACTCCAAAGGAAATATTAGAACCTTCCTATTCAACCCAACCAGGTCAAACAGACAGTATTCCTTGCACTGCTCTCTGGTTTTGTCAAGTCAGAAGGAAAAAAAATCCACTGGTTCAGGGACTTTTTCATGTATTTTCTTCATCTTACGAAGAGTGTACATCTGTGATTCCTCACCCAGACGCAGGAAGCTGAATTGTACTGAGGGTTCAGAGATGATGAGCCGCCTTTCCTAACTACAAGGCAAGGAGCGAAGTGGGAAGCACGGAGCTGGCACAGGGGGAGCCTGTGGTCTCTTCTGGCTTGTCAGTAGGCAGCAGGCAGGACTGGGGGCTCTCACCCAGAGCTGGGACATCAGAGCAGGGCACAGGACACTGCGGGACTCAGCCTGACCGCAGCAGTCCAGCACAGCCACGGTGGAGGAGCAACTGCACAAAAGCTGCGTCTGAGCATCACCCCAGACATCCCACCACCCCCTCGCCCCTCTCACTTAGTCATTGGGAAACAAGGCAGCTTTATTACCAGCCTGATCCCAGACTAGCATCTCACATTGCAGTCATCACCCTGCACACCTGCCCTTGGCAGCGCTACATTTTGGCCCCCTCAGATGCAAATCCCATTTCTCTATTCTCTTGCCTCATTCCCAGACAGTACGTGGTTCTTTCATCAGTATGGAGTCAATTAAGCTTTGGGTACCGTATCTTAACGGCTCCAAATAAGCCGGTGATCTTCCTGAAAGGTGATACATTATAATTGGATCTAAATTGGCAAGAAAGAGAATAGTGACACATGAGACTGTGAGGTTATTTGAATTAGCACTTAAGTTAAAAATAGCCAAAAGCAGCGCTTAAAGTTATCAGGGTGTTTGCTTAGATCTTCTAGCATTGATCAGGGTTGTATCATCTGTTACAGCCGGTGTTACTGCCCAGGAAACAAGACTTGGGATCTTTGGTTCTCGAGATCCTACAGAGAGCAGTGATGCTGCCAGCTCCCAAATGCAGGCGGTGAAATCCGCAGATCCACTGTGTTCCCTAGCACCAAGACACATCAGGAGGGAGGGGAATGATTGCCAAAGCCTGGCACGGGGCACATTTCAGGTGCCCAGACTCTACAGGTGTCCCTGGTACATGTCAACAACTTTTCAGAGTCTACAGCTCAGACAGCCCTAGGCAAGCTCAAAGCAAACAGCTCCCACTTCTTTCCAGCTGGGACTTGGGAACAGCACAGCAGGTTTCTTGCACTGCTGTGATCCTCACTTTCATCCCTGTGATTAAAGTGATGAACACGTCAACAGCCAGGAGAGCCAGGTCTGGATAAACATCCCAATTAGGTGGTTTTTACTTGGGTGGGCAGCAATTACATTCTGTCCACATTTTGAAAGGCCCGATGAAACGCAGCTCATCCCAAACTCCCCTAGAGAATGACAGTGGGATCTCCCTGCAGGAAAGGATTTGGGGCTCTCCACCCCAGACAAAAGAGAGTGGAATACCTGGCTGCTGCTCCCTGCAGCGCACACGGACTCCCGTGGGGGCGGGGAGCGGGCGGTGGTGCAGAGCAGGAGCCCGCGCTCCCGGGTACCAGCACCCTGGGCCAGGGCCAGATCCACAGGGCCAAGCTCTGGGCATCCCCCAGGGACATGCCAACAGCAGTGCTACCTACTAGTTACTTGCCTAACAATTCACCTCATTTCCTTACTTGTAGTCTATTCTAAGAAAAAAAAAAAAAGTTAAATTAAAAAAATCAGTTCAGGTTTTCAAAACATGTCAAGC